GTGATCAGTATTGGCAATAAACGTGGCTTTATTGCATTCAACATGAAGTTTATTTTTATCAACAGGGTACGCTTTCTCTTTTTAAACAAACAAATTCCAGCAGAAACTCAAGAGTAACATAAATAAAAAGGCCTATTCCACCTTAGGAGGCTAACCAACAGTAGTGTCCCTCACTACGTCCTACTGGAGCGGCTATTCCAGCTTCCAGTATAAACGAACATGAACAAAACCCACAGTCCAATACATACAGTGTTTAGCCAGACCTTATTCTACAGATATTCAGACGCTCGTCAGTCAGTCAGTGTCTGTCTGTCCTGTCTGTCCGTCCGTCCGTCCGTCTGTCTGTCTGTCTCCAGTCCAGCATGGGTCTCTCTCTGAACTCTTTCTCCCCCTCAGTCACTATCAGGTGCAGGCTAATTAATAGAGAGGAGGTGTACCTGTTGGGGCAAGGCTTAACTCCTTCCTAGCCAGGGAAAGCTGCCCTTTTTAACCTCTCACTGACATAAACAGAGTCGTATATAGGGTTGCCACCCGTCCGGTTTTCAACCGGACAGTCCGGGTTTGGCGTCTTGTGTACGGGTGTCCAGCCAGCGGGCAACCGTACACAAGACACTCTGCTGACACCGGCACTTTAAATTTTCTCGCAGATGCGGCTGCGAGGTCCTTGGTAAGTGCGATCCACGGCAGCCGCATCTGCCTACTATTTTAAAGATAGGGGTAAAGGTCCACTTTAAATGTATGTTTTTAAATGTAAGCAGTGTAAGTACCTAAATTTGACCTAATATCAGTACAAGAAGTCAATCCTGTGTGCTGCAGTGGGAGGAGCATATTGATAAGGGGAGAGGGCAGAGTGACAGAGATGAGCTTCACAGTGTGCTGCTTCTCCTTTCACTGCTCAGTCAGAGGGGGAGAGATGTGAAAATCACAGGACTGGATGGACAGAAATACGAATCTTTTTAAAATGGCTCTCATATGTATTTCATCTGTGTATTTAGCCCTTTGCCTCCTTTAAGAATATGTGTGTCTTTCCCTTTCATTCTACCAGTGGCACCATCATTATAATTTGCACAGTTTGATATGTGCTCCAACCTGATCAATCATATGAGATTCAGAGACAGCCACATCATCAATGGTCATAGCTTGATGCTTCAATCTTTTATTCTCACTATAAGGCTAGGTTCACACCTGCACGACACCCAGGACGCGCGATCGTGTGCTAGTGCACACAGCGGGTGCCACGCAGCCCCATTCATTTCATGTACCTTTTTCCCGACACACGACGTGCGGCTTAGAAAATAATGGCACCCACAGAGCGATTGCCTGAGGGGGGCGACTCCATAACCGCGTGGCAATCCGCACAGTTTTGTGCACAATTGCCGTGCGGTCAGGTGTCGCCCAGGTGTGAACCTAGCCTAGTAAGTGATACAAAAGTAGATACAATTGTCAACTGTGTAAGGACTAATAAAGAATTTAAAGACATATCCCCTTGTGTAGAAAATGACATGAAGTTCTTATTTAAAAACAACCTTCCTGATCTCCACTTGTTGGCTTTATTAAATATAGTCTGAAGGACATCACGTGTACTAGTCACCAGCTATAGAGTAATCCTACACCTTCCATTGTGTAATCTATATGCTGCTTTCTAAATATGTGTGCTAAATATATCCTGGTATACAGCATCACCCTGATATTGTTATGTAACAGATACACGTATACATATCTGTCTTGACTCTTTAGTATGTGTGAGATTATAAGCAGAGCTTGGGCATTGCTAGAATTGTGCAAGACCCAGGGCACACTGGAAGGAGAAGATTCTGTAGACTGTACACATATGCTGCTGTCCTTGAACTCACTAAATTACCAAACTACTGTGCAGGGGCGGACTGACAACACATGGGGCACCCGGGCAATACAAGATTATGGGGCCCCCTTGTGCTCCGCCCATATACAAGTCCCTCCCACACGCCCCACCTGCATAGACATAGCAAAATGGAGCAGACAAAATCTGGGGCAGCTGTTCATGGCAACCAATCAGCTTCCCTCTGTCATTTTCAAACCATAACTGAACAAACTAAAGAGAGAAGCTGATTGGTTGCCATAGGCAACGGCTCCAGATTTTGTCTGCTCCAACCGTGCCCGACTGACTGAATGGTCAGTCCGCCCCTGCTACTGTGCAAGACATGAGCAAGAGTGTCACATGTGTGACGATAAATGTGTATTGGGGTTGAGTTATGTCTTTTTATAAGAGAATGCTTTACTGTTCAGTGACCAGTAGAATGCCCTGCATTGGAGGTAATTGGGGGAAAATGTCACCTTATATTGATGGTCAGTAGCTGGTCATGCCTAGCTTCCCCACCGGTAATGTGTCTACCTGGTCCAACACATGCAGAACCCTGGCAGCAGGGAAATAGCTAACCATTTGGTTGAGGCAATCCAGGTGACAAATTATTCCATCAGTCCTCCTGATTATAGAATCCCTTATTACAAGCACCTGTCTGTCATCTTCCTGCATAAAGGTGGCCATACACTCTACAACATCACAAGACTTTAGTCTTGCGATGGTTGTAAAGGGATTAAAAAAACGTACGATATGCCTATCTTGGACAGGCAGATCGCACTCTCGATCATCGCAAGCCCGCCCCCCTGAGGGGCGGGCTTCCGATGACCGCAATGCTGAACGGGCAGTGTGCGCGTGCGCACACCGGCCCGTTCAGCATTTATCTTCCGAGCACCGTTCTAACTAGCCGAGAATCATACGATTCCCGGCTGGTTTTCGAACATGCTGGTTCGACAGAAGACGTGCGACCGTACAGTAGAACCGGTCGCACGTCTCCGTTCACACTGCTCGATTATCGTACGAAAAACCGATCGCATACGATTATCGTGCGATAATCGTGCAGTGTATGGGCACCTTTAGCCTCACCACTCCTACTATATTGGCTGCCCTCCCCGCTGTTAGGGGTAGAAGTGATATCCAGGGCTGCCACCTCTGGGTTTGCCACCTTCACTTGACTTAGCAAATTTGTTTGGGTGCCCAGACACAGGACTGGCTTTCCTTTTCTGTGAGCCCCTGCCACTCCTAACTATAATAACCAAACTTCCTACATGATCACCATTAATTTCTCCTCCACCCTCCACATCAGCCCCATTAACTCCCTGCTCAGTGAGCAGAAGACTCCTCTCAGGTGTGTCTTCTCAGTGTTGTAATTTGCTCCTCAAGATCTCTGATGTAAGATTCCAGGAGGGCAACCGGAAGTGTTTTAAATACTTACCAATTTCAAAAAAAGAAACAGAAGAAAAACACTTGTTTCAAAAACAGTCACTTAGCAGTCAACGTATCTCATATAGAAGCACAACTCCTGTGTTTTAACTCCACTTAATTCCAGACACTTTGTTCTCAAGCCTCTGTGAGAAACCGATTAATTGGTAAAGTGGTCTTTTGGGCTCCTTAAAGTGGAATGAAACCTAAAAGATGTTAGGAGGTGTGGTAGAGGAGACATTGTAAGTATTTTCTGCCCAATTTTTTTCCCCACTTTTACCTAGTAGTGGAAACAACCATACGATTTATAACAAATGGGGAACAAAGCCTAGCAGCCAATAAAGCTCTTGATGGTGGGCATCAATGACAATCTCTCCTGTGTAGTACAAACCTTTGAACCTAGAATTCCCTGTATTATATTATTTATATTATATGGGACATCCATACAAGAGCTTATCCCAGGTAGTAATGTTTGGACCAATGCCAAACACACACAGGGTTATTCACAAAAGGGTGAAGAGTTTGGAGAAGGCAGGAGAAGTTAACAATCTAGGCCAAAATAGCCTATTTGGAAAAATTCTCCAATTCAGCTCCCTTTCCAGTTCAGCTATGTTCTCCTAGATTGTTCACTTCTCCTGCCTTCTCAAAACTCTTCACCCTTCTGTGAATAATCCTGATAATGTTACCATTCCATATACAGGACCTTAAGGACTTTACGTCATCTAAGCACTAAGGCCCTCTTGAATACATTTTCACGTGATACAGATGAATTTACTTATTACTGTGTATTTTTAATTATATTGAATCCGCTGGCATGTAGCTGATTTTTGGACTTTTGCAAATATCTTACAATCAAAATATAAATTATGACAGTGCAACAATAAGGCAGCAAATAATTCTATTTTATTGATGCTACCATGAGGAAAATAGAATTCTATCTATAGAATTCTATCACACTGTCATAGATGAAAGCACACACTAATAATATTTATTTACTGATAATATTTTGTGTTGCATTATTTGTCACTAGGTTTACAGATATCTGTTACTAAATCGTGCTTAGCTAGAATGTTCAGATTATTTTTACACTGGTGCTGAGAAAAAGTGTTTACACTGAAATGTTCATGTGGACATATCATAAATAACGTTTAAATATTCTGCAGGCTCCAGATGATCAGATATAAATAGCACAAACCTTTTTTTCAAATATTTTCATAGGATTATTATAAGATGGTATCAATAAATACATTTTAAATACACTAATGTCGTGCACAATATCGTCATTTCCCTGTGAAATGACTTCCACTGTGTGTGTAGACTTTTTCATGAAACCGCATCTATTCATCTTTTCAGTAAAACATACTCGGACTCATACTTGATATATGAAGAAATCACCAAACATTCCCAATCTTTTCTACATTCTTTTTTGTTGTCTAAATCAAATTTCCAGAGAGCAGAACAACAGTTTTTGAAAGAAAAAAATGTGCCTTTGTTATTTGGCAGATAAGACTTCAGTCACAGAAACAGACATGTAGCTTGTTTGCTACAAAGATTAACAAACTCTGAACTGACCTCATCCTCCTGAGGGACCTCTGATTTTGAAAAAGTTCAGCAGTCCATATTAAAAGAATGTTATGTAAAATCTTCAGATCAAAATGAGGTTGGTATTTCAAATAAAGCTGACTAAAATCCTTTAAAAAGAAGTAGTAGATCTGATTTGCCTGACAAGAGATACATTAAACTATTCTCTCCGGCTTCTTCTCTTAGCCTCCAGTGTTTTATCCAATTGACGCAGTTGCTCAAGAAAGCCTGGGTTGGGGCAGATGTCTCGGTGCTCGCTCACTGTACGTATGGCATCAACTAAACTCAACCCTTCAGATATCATTAAAAATGCAAGAGCAAGGGAGGCTGCTCTGCTGATCCCCATTACGCAATGCACCAACACCTTGCCTGAAAAGACAATGGAAAAAGAGAACATGAAATTTGGTGAAATAGAAAATAAAAGTGATTATTTAGTGATTATTTATTAATGGGAAACTCTCTTGAGAAATAGATGTCAATACTAGCTTCTAACACAAGTATTCAAATCATGAATTATGAATACACTCTGGCTTTGGCTGCTGTGTGCTTGTTCCGGGTCAATAACCCAAAGTGTGGAAGCTAGAGATGGCCAGGAAGCTAGCCCATTTAAGATATAGGCCAGCTATGGTGGCCCCAATATTTCTCTTAGCATAGGTTTCTTTTGAGTATAATGTGTCTTCAAATTGCCTAAGGTCTCTTGTAGATACACTGGTAACTCCAACATCCTCAATGCTCCAAGAGTGGGACCTAGAAACAAATGAGCCATGATAACAAATAAACAACAATGGAGCTGCAGCTTAATTTTTGTTCAATTGTTACCAGGACTTGTCTATTTGGATATGATTCTGTATGTGCTGTTAGATTTCAGATTAGAAGACCTGACTATAGAAACAACAATGGAATATGAGGGTGAACCTAAAGCCCTGTGTGCCCTAATTTAAGTCCATTCCAAGAGGCAAATGGTACATGGTAGACAATCTGTTCCTGCAGTCCCAAAGCAGGAAAAGAGCAAGCAATGAACTATGGGTATTGAGGTAGTATAATAACAAAAAAAATAATTTGTGATCAAAATATACAATTAAACAGCCATTAAAGCAGTTGATGGTGGGCATCCATGACAATCTCCCCTGTGTGGTACCAACCTACAATTTTCTTTTTTATAACTAATGCTTTGGAACATCCATACCAAAGCTTTTTCCAGGTGGTAATGTTTGGACCAAAGTCAAGCACAGAATGCAGCCGCTCAATATATATACAGGAGCTGAGCTTTTACTGCATCTCAGCAGACTAAGACCCCCTTTCACATATTTTCACGTGTTGCTGATGAATTAGTATCACTGTGTATTTTCTTTTAATTACATTGAATTTGCTGGTATGTAGTTGGTTTTTCGGACCTTTGCAAATGTCTTACAATCAAAGTATAAATTATGAACATGCCATATAATCCAGACGGTGGGGTGCCAGGGTAGAAGCTATTTTATAGGTCTAGGTGTGAGGTCTGAAATGTTAATCTGTCTCTTATAAATTTCAGTTTGGTTAACATGTAGGCTCGAGGCTTAATTCATTTAGGGTTTATATCAACTTTAAAGTGAAACTGTGCCCAGACCGTGCACAGTAAAGTATTAACGTATTCTTGATGAGCATTACAAAACACTTTAAATCAATCTGCCATTCACCTCTGTAGTTATAGACTTTGTAGAGAAATTAATCTTCAAAGATCACAACAGGGGCAGTAAAATCACAACTTTTCTCCCCTTATTTTCTATGGAGGGCAGGAGCTTGGCAGCCTGCCATGCTTCTAATGTAAACAGCTGCTTGTAAGCTATGAGAAACCAATGCAAACCTGACTGCAGAGTCTTTGTTCTAATCTGAGAATATTTAAAGGTGCCCATACACTGTGCGATTATCGCACGATAATCGCGGGAAATCCCTCGATCGTACGATCATCGCAAAGTGTATGGAAGGCGTGCAACCGTTTTTACTGTACTGTCGCACGTCTTTTGTCTAAGGAGCATGTTCGAAAACCAGCCGAAAATGTCACGATTTTCGGCTGGTTTGTGGCATGCTCGGGGGACAAATGCCGAACGGGCCGGTGTGCGCACGCGCACACTGCCCGTTCAGCATTGCGGTCATCGGAAGCCCGCCCCCCAGCGGGGCGGGCTTGCGAAAATCGCAAGTAAGATCTGCCTGTCCAAGATGGGCAGATCGTACGTTTTTTTTATTACTTTACAACCATCGCAAGACTAAGGTCTTGCGATGGTTGTACAGTGTATGGCCACTTTAAGACAGAATAACTTCACAGTAAAAGCAGCTAGAGAGGTCTGGAATGGCTTGTCGTAAAACTCTTTTACTGCTTGTTAAAACTATGTAAATACTTTAATGTCCACAGTCTGAGCACCGATGCGCATTCTTTTAACTTTTTGGGCCAAAAATTCACTTGGAATCATATTTTGCATATGAATAATTTATTATAATAATCTTAACTAGACTTCTGGAAAATCACTGATGCAATGGGTATCTTACCCTTTTTTATAGACCAGGAATGCTGCACTACACAACTCTGGCCAGTTTATGGGCTCAAGGGTTGGCAGATAACACCCTGTCATAATACACTGAGTTGCCAGATCATTATGACCACCTGACATGCAGGCATATTAGCTATAATTAGCTATAATTTTGCGCTGAACTTGCTAGAGGGCCAGACCATTATAAATAGGGAAGCAGGTTGTTTACCACGACAGTAGAAGTGATTTTTTTCTGAAGATATGGGTAAACAATGCGATTTAACAGCCTTTGAACGTGGGATGATTGTTGGCGCTCCGAGCCATGGAGCGAGTATCAGCTAAACAGCAGAGTTCGTTAAATGTTCAAGAGCAGCTGTTGTTAAAGTGTTTAAAGACTGGACTATCAGCCGAAAATCTGGGTCTGAACGTGCGAATTGTGGCCGTCAGCGACTAGCCAATGTTAGTGCAGAACGGAGAGTAGCAAGACTGGTACAAGACAACAGAAGGGCAACAGTGCAGTGTCAGATTCCTTGCATCACCTTTCAACATCTCGTGGAGTCACGAGGCGGCCCTACGAAGTCCTCTCGTAGCCCAATGAAGTACTGATGGGGGTGGTCATAATAATCTGGCCACTAAGTGTATGTGTGGTTGTGTGTATGGCTACTTTTGTAATATACACAGATACTAACCTGAGAATGCTCTGGAGCATTGTGTACTTTCATTTGCAACAATAAAGCAGGATAGAATTTTATTTTATTGATGCTAGCTTGAGGAAAATAGAATTCTATCCTACCTCACTGTCATAGATGAAAGCACACACTAATAATATTTTTTTTACTGATAATATTTATGTTACATTATTTGTCACTGGGTTCATTGATATCTGTTACTGAATCATTTTATGCTGGGCTTGAATGTTCAGATCATTATTACACTGGTGCTGAATTAAATTGTTTATTTACACTGAAATGTTCATGTGGACATATCATAAATATTCTGAAACCAGCGATAAATATAACTGTGTCCCGCATGTTCTAGATCATGAAATATAGATAGCACAAACCTTGCTCAAATATTTTCTACAGGATTATGACAAGATGGTTTCAACAAATATAATTTAAATGAATACACTAACATGTACAGTATGCTATATAATCACACATGTATATCTTACAGATGAATCATAGAGAGCCAGGCAAAGAGCCATGACATTTACAATCCTTACATTTCCCTGTGAAATGACTTCCACTGTGTGTGTGTGTGTGTACTTTTTAATTAAACTGTATCTATCCATCTTTTCAGTAAAACATACTTGGAATCATACTTGATATACGAATAAATCCCCAAACATCCCAATCTTTTCTACATTTTTTGTTGTTGTCTAAATACATTTTCCAGAGAGCCACACAACAGCTTTTGATAGAAAAAAAAATGTGCCTTTGTTATTTGGCAGATAAATCTATAGTCAAAGAAAGAGACATGTTGCTGGTTTGCTACAAAGATTGATAAACTCTGCACTGGCCTCACCCCCCTGCAGGACCTCTGATTTTGAAAAAGGTTACCAGTTCATATAAAAAGGATGTTATGCTAAATCTTCTGCTAAAAATTGGTGTTGGAAATAAAGGCTAAACTAAAATGATTTTTAAATAATAGACAATAGTAGTAAAAGTAGTAAATCTGAAGTGATACATTAAACTATTCTCTCCGGCTTCTTCTCTTGATCTCCAGTGTTATATCCAATTGACGCAGTTGTTCAAGAAAGCCCGGGTTGGGGCCGATGCCTCGGTGCTCGCTCACTGTATGTATGGCATCAACTAAACTCAACCCTTCAGATATCATTAAAAATGCAAGAGCAAGGGAGGCTGCTCTGCTGATCCCCATTACGCAATGCACCAACACCTTGCCTGAAAAGACAATGGAAAAAGAGAACCGAGTGTGGTAATTTATTAATAGGAAGCTGTCCTCATCAGTATATGTCATTACTAACTTTTAACACAATTATTCAGATCATGGATTCTGAATACACTCTGGTTTTGGCTGTTGTGTGCTCGTTCAAGGCCAAAAATAGTCAGGAAGCTAGTACTTTAAGATGTAGGCCAGAAATGGTGACCCCAATGTTTCTCTTAGCATTGGTTTCTTTTAAATATATTGTATCTTCAAATTGCCTAAGAGCTCTTTGTAGTTTCACTGGTAACCCCAACCTCCACAGTGCTCCAGGAATGGACCTGGAAACAGATGAGCCATGATAATAAATAAAGAGCAATGGAGCTGCAGCTTTATTGATGTTCATTTGTTACCATGGCTCATCTGTTTGGATATAATGATTCTGTATGTGCTGTTATATTGCAAAGAGGTGAACTTGACAATATAAACAACAATAGAATATGAGGCTGAATCTAAAGCCCCGGGCGCCCTGATGTAAGTCCTTCTAAGAGGCATATGTTACACGGTAGACAATCCGTTCCTGGGGACTGGATTCATAAAAGCAAGCAACAATAGCTATGACTACGGCCCAGTGTACGGGCTGAAATGCATCAGCAGTTTTGTGAGCTGTTTTTATGCCAAGATGAAATAAGTGCTTTATCTTCAAGGGCCGGTTTATAGACGTGCTTATGTTCAGGAACCCACCCCCACAATATACTAATACTCACCCTTGCTGCACTCCCGTGCCACTCAATTTGTCTGCATTAGTGCTTCCAGATGAAGTGATGGATTCATCAGGCCTCAATACTGTCATAGGGATTAAACTACTGCTTCTACAGACCAATGATGATGTAGGGGAGCACAGGGAAGTTAAGTATCAGTGGGTGGTAGGTGACCTATGAAGAGACTTTGCCACTTTGCCCAGAATGAGCAAAGAGACAGATTCTCTTTAAGCCTTACAGTTGTGAGATTATGGATAGCTACAGTATGTAAGGTTTAGTCTGTGCAATTGGTTTCCTTTATGCTCTCCATCTTCTTCTAAGCTTTAACTCTTGTTTTACAAAGGTGATGAAGGTCCACTTACTGTATGTCCTAATGTAGCTTTCACTGCAGTTCACATAACTGTATCCATGAATTAACTGAAAAAGAAAGGAGTTTCTTAACAGGACAACCCTACTTATGCCATTTTATTTTTATTTACCATTAGGAGATTGCAGTCCAGCCCTTATAAACTGTGCCACTGGGAAGAAGTGAACACTCAAGTCAAAATAAGGATGATCATCTGCCTCTACTCCAAAGTAATCAATGTTAAGGTCTCTGTAGAACTCAGGTCCAGTGTTGATGCGGTATTTTCCAGAGGCAGCATTCACTATGTGGGTGATCCCCAGTTCACGAAGAACAGATTTATCTCTGGCAGTAAACCTGTATAAGAAATGTATGCATAACTAGTTGAATCAGATTAAGCTGACTGCATGTGGCCTCAGAGAAAATCATAGTTAAACGGTTCATGTTAAAGCAGCACAATATTTACAAAGCAAGCACAAGAACAGAAGTGTTATTTCCTATCGTCCAGGGAAAGGTTAGACCTGTCAAGTTACAGTATCTATTGCTGCTTGTGCCCCCACAGGGGTGATACAGCCACGGTATTTGTCCTGGTGACCATTTTATGGAGAAACAAAGTAAGTGAGTTTTACCTTCTTTTTAAAGTTATTGGATTTAAAATGTTTGTAGTTGTCATGGGAACAGGAGTAGAGGGGTTATCTTCCTAAGTCCCTTCTTTTGGTGACACCTGTGAAATGTGGGATTCTTCAACATTGTGGGGACATTTCTGCTTACTTTCTGTTGTGTATTTGGGGAAAGGATGAACAGGGCAATCTCATGGATGGGAACATAGCAGTAGAAAACTTGACAGACATGATTACCCTTTAAAGTGGACACTTTAACCAATTTAATGGAACATTTTCATTTGTTTCCCCAAGCTTACAAAGGGCTGATGTTGATCTTTGTAATGTGGAAAAGTAGGCAGCTTGGCAAAAATTAGTCCACCTTGAGGAAAGTCCTTTTTGTGGCTTCTCCCCTTTTAGAGAGGTTTAAATACTAGAAAATGTTTAGCAAATAGACATAGAGCCTTTAAAATTATTGTAATCTTTTTTATCTGATTCAATATGATGAAAATAAATACCGAAATTGGCCAGAAAAGATATACAAATCAGTGCAAGTATAGGAATAGATATGTTTCACAAAAAAACTTATTTCAAGATTTTATAAATAGGTGCTTAAGAATGTGCTGCATTAACCTGGCTGCCTAACCCTGTCATTGCCAGTCTTCAGTTGTTAAGGATATTTACACCCTTTCCCCGCTTGCCAGCCCTTCCTTTATATTCTACTGGACACTGGGGTAGACTGTCTTCTGGATAATATTTCCTGAGCACTTGCAGAGCATTTGGTACATGATAAAACCAAACTCTAATGGTAAGAATCACGGAAGCTTTCTTGAGGAAGGGCACCTTGATTTTTTGATTTGGGTACATGTGGTCACTGATAGGTGGATGGTTAGTCATAGCTTTGTATTTAGAAAGCAGCAAGCACAGAACATGCTGAGACTCGGAGTCATCTCCATGTACATAGTTACATAGTTAGACATACTGAAAACAAAGCTACAACCAGTTCTTCTAAGTTGCAGCCACAATGACTTAGAGAAAAGAAAAATGAAGCTACAGAATGCAGCTATATACTGTATATCAGAGGAAGTAAACAACCTGACCTAAGTTAATCAATTAACTCTCTGAAACCTTTCCAAATACAATAACATCACAATCACATATTCGTGATCACTGATAACCAATCATTTTAGGGCTTGTTCATTAAATCTGCCCAGTTAGGTTTCACTTTTAATTTATTGGCTAAATTAAAAAGAATTGGTTACTAAGGCTGGGCACACACCTTACAACCATCGCAAGACTTTTGTCTTGTGATGGTTGTAAGGTAATTAAAAAAAACGTACAATCTGCCTATCTTGGACAGGCAGATTGCTGAGGGGCGGGCTTCCGATGACCGCAATGCCAAACGGGCAGTGTGCGCTTGCGCACACCGGCCCGCCCAGCTTTTATCTCACGAACAAGCCCTCTTACCTGTCTGCTCCGATCCTCTGTCCGCCTCCTTCTCCTCCAAGATCGCTTACACGGGCCCCATGGCGGCTGCCTGGGTCGCTATGGTGATTGTTACGCCACTGGTTAGGAGGAAGGAGCAGAGTGACACTGAGAGATAAGCTGATCGGTTTTCTGCTTCTCCTTTAACTGTCTAGCCACAGGCTGGGGAAGAGACAAGGCCTGTAAGTATTTCTTAAAGTGAGCCTGTGCCCAGACTATGTATACTAAAGTATTTACATATTTTGAACAAGCAGTAAATGCACATTAAAACAAGACACCATTTATCACTATTGCCAAAGCCATTGTGGCAAAATAAAAATAAAAATGAATTCAGAAATAGAAGCATAGAAAGCTCAGCTTTTCCTATGAAATCCAACCTTATAATGTGAACATACAGCAGATATGTCTAATTTGTTAAAAAACTAACTAAAACCCAACTTGATCTTTGGGAATTAATTACTTGACATTACAAGAAAGCAGCTAAAGATGTATGTAAGGGCTTGTTTTATATCTCTTTTGCTTCTTGTTAAGAATATGAAAATAGTTTAATGCTCATAGTCTGGGCACAGGTGCACTTGCAAATGCAGCAAGGAGGAAAAATTAAGAGGGTTATTCACAAAGTTAGCCGAAGGATCAGCCGTAGCTCACTATGTTAATAGGGGCGAACGGCAGTGAGTGAGCAGCCGGAGCTTCGGCTCAGCTGATCCAGATGTTGGCTCGAACTCCTTCTGCACTTCCGCTCAGCGGAACATGCTGAGCATGTTCGGTTGAACCAAAGACAGCTGAAGCAAGCCGATGTACGGCTATAACCCTTTAAGTATTTTCCATGCCAAAAAAGGCTGTGTTGCGTGGCGGAGCTGTGTATACCTCCTAACTGAATGGACAGAAATACAAATCGTTTGGCAGGTAAAACAAGCGACAATTAGCACTTTTAAAAGATCTTTGTTTAATAAGCCTGGTACTGAATGTCACATTAAAGAAAACTGTTGAAAGCTCTGCAGATGTTTTACTTTAGATATAAATGACCTGCTCCTTAGAAGATAGGGGTGAGGTTCATTCACATGCCCCCTTTACTGCCCATCTGTGGCATGAATGTGCTGAATTGCAGAACTATGCAGGAAAAACAATGGTCAGGCATTGGGACACTTCTCCAGGCATCCCCTGTGCTTTGTCATGGGATATCAAATCAGGTCTAATGACAAAAGTGCTGGGTACTCATGAAGAAGCAAGGTGGCACAATGCCTTGCAAGCAAATTTTGTACTGAGGCCCTTATGTCAGTAGTTGCAATATTATTCCCCAATAGCTGACAGCTGGCAGTGTATTCTAGTATTTCATAGACATGAGATGATTTTCTGATTGAAATAAAAATAAACACCCCATTAAGGTTTATGGTACACAGAGAACCGTTTGCAGAACATAAAGTACTTTGCAGTTAAAGGGATAGATTCTGTATTAAATCTTATAAACCTTCAGGAATAAATAGGGCTGCATGTTTTCTAAATATAACTAATATATTTATGTGCAAAAATACCAAAAAGAGAATACATGCTTGATTAAGTGCTGGGAATTTTGGAAACCGGCACGGCAAGCAGGAGGATGAGGGAATTTGTGAAGCGAGCTCATTAGAATTACTTATGAATAATTCTTTATCTGAGGAAAAGCAACTTCTCACAACTTCTATACTGCACACAGAGCAACACATACAAATGGGAAAACATGCCATTTTTTAAAGTATAGGTATATTGTTAAATAACGGGATTCTAACAATGTTAGCCATCTATTCATATTTTAGCTATACACCTTTTGACTTAGATCAGCAGGTGATCCAGAAACTACAACCTACTCTGTACCACAAGGCCGATCTTTCTCTGAACCTGTATGTACAAGCCCATGTGTAGCTTGGCCCTACCGGAGGTCTTTGCAGTCTGAAGGTTGAAAGCTTTTTCCATTAGGGCTTGTTCACACTAAATCCGGACCAGATCTGGATGAGTTTCTGCATATGCAGTTCCAGGGTGTTTGCATGCTTTTTTGATGCGTTTGCATGTGTTTTGGGGAGTTCCAGAGCAGAAAAAATAGGGCTTGCTGCAGTTTTTCCACATGCTCTGGTACTGAACACTCTGGTGTGAACTAGAGCCCAAAATTCCATTGGAATACAATGGGGGTGATTTACTAACCTGAACACACGCACGCACCAGGTGCGTGTGATTTTCACACAGCAAAACGTATTTATCAACCAAAAAGTCTCTAAAAGCATATTTCCACTAATGCCATATATGGAAAAATCATGCACATGATGCATATATAATGCTGCTTCACAGTTTAGACAAAAATGGTTAGCTCATGCATTTACATTCCTGCATTCATCAACGCAAGCAACACAACATAGAGCTAATTTACACAACATCACCTTGCAATTCATGCAGGGCTTTGCACAACACACCTGCTGGGTGTGTACACACTACAAAGGTGTTTAGATTCCACCATAGATCATGCTGGGAGGGAACACACTACAGAGGTGTATACATGTTCGTGGTGTGTTTATAAGGTTAGTAAATCAACCCCATAGGCTCAAACAAGGGTCACAACACCACCTGCCCCATCATAGTCCAACTTCCCAGTTCCCAGGGTCTTTACAGTACAATTATAAATACACTCTTTAAATTTGATTGTCTTTACCTTATGCTAAAACTATTGAAATTGTCATAATGCCCTTTTTCTGATCATACAGCATGCATTGGTAATAGCAAAGCACCAATAGATTTTAATAAATTAACAGCAGATGACACCTCGGTTCAATCATTACTAGAGACGTACAAAACATTGGTTTGAAAGCACAAACTTGACATCACACTTTACACTGTTACAGGGACAATATACAGAAAGGATGCAAAAGGATCAAGATGAATGCTCAGTCTCCTTACGCATCTCCCAGGTACAGTTTTGGCCATACTTGGTTGACATGTCCTGTGGATGATCTGTGACTCCAGAGAAGTCGCTGCAGGTCATGGACAGGCAAGGGCTCATAGTGACACTTGACATCAGCCATCCTAAGGGAGTATTATAAGGGGAATAAATGGTTTTACAAACAGGGAATGTCACAGAATATAAATATGGGATCTGCCATTGTCTACTTGTTTTTAAAATGTTTTAAAGTTTGAACCCTATCATCCTTCCCTTTGCTTTGCTGCAAGTAACTTACTAGGAAATGGTATGCAGACAGTGAAGTTGGGCCCCCCGAGACTGTATACCAGTTTTGGGTCAGTGACTCACTAAGTACGGAATGACAACTTCTGAAATGCACCTTTTTAAAGCAAGTCAGCAGAAGTAGTATATACACACTACTGTACATCTACTATCTCTATCCACTTGTTCAATTGGTCCCATCCTCATTTTCTGCCTGTACTTTTGTTCGCTTTGTTGAACAGCTTCCCCATTTATACGCTGCACAATTCTCCCTGCAGTTAGCTACCATGTGTTCTGGTTGAGCTCTTTCTTTATTTATAAGCCCTTTCTGCATCTTCTTTCCGTTTTCTTCCTCAGATAATGTGAAACTCCTGGAGTGTGATGACCTAGTAGCTCTCCAGGGACTATTAGCAAACCCCTATTGAACTAGCCAGAGGGGGACCTGTTGCTAGGGTTTACTTCTCAGTGATCCACTGCTCGGGGCCTGCTACAACCAATCTCCATTTGGGATGTGGCATGTTTTCTACATGAGAAACTAATCTACTTTCTCCTAGTTCGGGTGTTCGGTGGTCTGTTCGACTGCTAAATGCCCAATAAGACAATGCACCTTGTGAAGCCCTAATTGGCTAAAGGCTTTCACCTGACCACAGGTCAGGTGCAAGACTTTGCCCAATCAGGGCTCAGTACTCTGTAAGAGCCATGAGTGGGCAAAGTCATGATGACTTTGCCCACTCATGGCTCACCTGTCAGATGATGTAAAACTACACAGTTGGGCGGAGCTACTTGTCACCGCTAGTTCTGCCTAATTGTTTCTGTTTTGCCTGCATCTGTCAAAATGCCATTATGCGACGGGTGTTCGTGCGAGTGGATGGGACGGCGGTCGGTAGGTTTAAAAAAAATAAAAATATTTCTATTAATTTTTTATTGTTCTATTTTTTATTTCGTCGAGTCATCGTCATGGACAATGCTGGACCTCGTGATTGACCATGGATTACGTCAGTGGATCCATTTTTTTTTTTTAAATAAAAGACTTGTCACAAACATGTCTTTTGGTTTTTTTTTCAAATAAAGAATTTTTTCAAACGTCTCGACTTTTTATGTACAATTTTAATTTTCCCTTTAGTGAATGGGTAGGGGTACAAGTACCCCTTACTCATTCACAAAGGTGGGAGATGGCATCTGGGTGCTCCTTTATTAAAGGGGTACCCTGATGTGCATAAGCCCCCTGCCCACACCCCCACAACCAACGCCCCAGGGCTTGTGGGGAAGAGGCCCTTGTCCCAATCAGCACGGGGACAAGGTGCTTTTCCAGAGGTGACCCTGGAAAAGCACCCTCCCAGTGTCGAGGGCATGTGGCCTGGTATAGGAGAGGTGGGGCGATTGCCCTTTCTTTTTTTTATAATTATCTTCAATTATGAGAATTGTACATCTGTCCCTAAAAGATTCCTTTTCCCCTGATCTATAGATAATAATCTTGTAAATATGGTCAGTACATTTGTCCAAACAAGGTCTTCTGTTCATACATTTTCCGTATTATATTACCCATCCCTAAAATTAATCTGTGGCTCATCACTTTATATCCATGATAAACTGCCAATAAACATTGATACCAACAAATAAGTTTCAGATCACCGACTGCAATGTACCTATGACCAAAGGTCAGCATAAATGCAAAATATTGCACTGTTTACTAATCTCTATCAAGCAAATATTGAATCTCTCCTACTGGAAATATCCAGATACTTAAATAGAAATTATCTATTATTTTAGTATCTATATTTATCCTTTTTGGAACAGTAGTTTGTACTGTTAGAAAAATAAAAACTTTAATAAGATTGTAGAAATTCCCGATAACACATTATTTCTAAAATATAGTATTGTTAAGAAAATGGTGACCTTACTTCATCAGTGTAACTTTGTCAATAATTCTAAAAAAAATATGAAGTTTATATGAATATTATGGTAGCAAGAATGATAGTGTAACTTGTATTGTAGAATGTACTGAATTTTTATGTGTATTGAGGTTTTGTACCTTGTAACCTCTGCGTAGCAGTCGTTTGAGAACAAATGTCCTATGAATTCTTCTGATGTTTTTCTTTCTTCTAAGTGCTTGACTGTCACACTACACTCCCTTCGGCTCCACCATCACAAGATGGATCCTCTGGCCAAACACTTGGACTGTGACTCAGGGCAATCTTACTTAGCTTCTATTTTTGATCCGTGATAATTTTATCTCAGGAGGTTTCACTTTGTTCTTATTGCTGCACTACCAGAAGCTAACATTGGCTCGAGATATCAGTTATACCAGATAAATATGTCTATGTGTATATGTAAATATACATGTATACATATAAATGTTAGGTTTTTATATACAATGATCATTTAGATTTATTTGGCCTTTAGCTATAACTTTTTTAGACTTTTTAATGAGACACGTGAGTTGAATATCTACTGAGGCTCATTTAAGCACCACTATAGCAAAAAAGAATTGTATTCTGGTAACTGCATAGAATACCTGTAACAATACTACACAGTATCAGTTCCCCTTTTCATTTTTACATGCCTTTATTTATAATTTTCTCCAAATGTACATGCAGACCAAGTTGTATGGTAAAAGTGACAGCTACAAGGGTTGGAATAAGCCATAAAACACTGCTGGGGGTACTTAGCAATACCTGGTGTGTTTTGTTTTTTGCTGTAACTGTTTAAAAATTGTCAGCTAGAGTTGCGCATTATTTCTGTTTATTGCTTGCTTAAATTCTATTTAATCCTACATAGCCATCTAAGGAAAACCTGTCCACCGGTTGACAATGTGGCAGTGATTTCACTAGAGGAAACCCTGTTACAAGAAGTGGAAAAAAAATCACAGACCTACTGGCAGGATCAATAGGTACTGAAAGTATTTTTCAGTCATACCCCCAAAAGGCACTTGAGTATTTTATTAGATAGTGGAATTGCACCTACCAATTTACTGTATAATGTGCACTGGAGTATATCTATTGTCTGGTATCATAATAGGCAGACTGGGAGGGAGGGTACTGCAATGAGCTGATGCTATGAGCAATATATAGTAATCTATAGCAGCTAATCAGAAAGAATATTCCAGTGATCTACCTACTGAAAATGGATTGGTTTCTACAGTAGTTGATAACTATATATATATTAGTGCATTCAGAAAGTATTCAGACCCCCTTCACTTTTTTTAATTTTGTTATGTTGCAGCCTGATACTACAGTTGTTTAAATTCTTGTTTTTCTCATCAATCTACACTCTGTACCCCGTAATGACAAATTGAAAACAGAATTTCAGTGAATTTATTAAAAAGAAAACACTGAAATATCACATTCACTTAAGTATTCAGACCCTTTACTCAGTACTTTGTTGAAGCACCTTTGGCAGCAATTAGAGGCTCCAGTCTTTTTGGGTATGACGCGACAAGCTTTGCACAACTGGATTGGGAGATTGTCTGCCATTCTTCTTTGCAAATCCTCTCAAGCTCAGTCAGGTTGGACGGGACCATCGATGGACAGCCCTTTTCAGGTCTCTCCAGAGATGGTCAATAGGGTTCAAGTCAGGGCCCTGGCTGGGCCACTCTAGGACATTCACAGAGTTGTCCCCAAGCCACTCCTGTGGTGTCTTGGCTGTGTGCTTAGGATTGTTGTCATGTTAGAAGGTGAACCTTCGGCCCAGTCTGAGGTCCTGAGTGCTGTGGAACAAGTTTTCAGTGAGGATATCTCTGTACTTTGATCCATTCAGCTTTTCCTCAACCCTGACCCGTCTCACAGTCCCTGCTTCTGAAAAACACCCCCCACAACATGATGCTACCACCACCATGCTTCACTGTTGGGATGGAATTGGGCTGGTGATGTTGGTTGCCTGGTTTCCTCCAGACTAGAGCTGCAGCTAACGATTATTTTCAAAATCGATTAGTTGTTGCAGCCCTACTCCAGACATAACGTTTAGAATTGAGATCAAACAGTTCAATCTTGGTTTCATTAGACCAGAGAATCCTGTATCTCACAGTATGAGAGTCCTTCAGCTGGTTTTTGCAAACTGAGCAGGCTTTCATGTGTTTTGCACTGCGGAGAGGCTTCTGTCTAGCCACTCCGCCATACAGGAAAGATCGGTGGAGAGCTGCAGTGATGGTTGTCCTTCTGGAACTTTGTCCCATCTCCACACAGGATCTCTGGAGCTCAGTCAGAGTGACCTTTGGGTTATTGGTCACCTCTCTTTCTAAGGCTCTTCTCCCCCGTGTGTGCCTCTCCAAATCATGTCCAATCAATTTAATTTACCACTGGTGGACTCCAATCAAGGTGTAGAAACATCTCAGCAACGATCAAGATAAATGGGAGGCATATCGAATCCTTAATCCCTCAAAAACAAGGGAGATCCCACCACAGAGCTTATTGTATAACAAATAATGTAGCTCAACCACATATAAAGTATTACATTTTGACCAGGGGGTCACCTTCTAATCCTTGTAGCCGTGTTTTTAGATTGCTCCTATCCTGGTATGCTTTCTTTTCAAGTGGACATCAAAGTCGTCTATATTATTGTTCCCAAGATACAAATGAGATTAATAACATTTTGACACGAATCACTGCATGGATACAATATATCAAAGGATCATAGCCAAAGCTGGAGCGCTACAGAGGCATCTATCACATGGATGGACACTATAAAAAGATACAACAGACACACCGGCCGTTAACCCACTATCCCTGGATCTACATCACCCGTGTTGGGTAATCGTATAACACGCTATCACCTTGCTAAGCTATTGAAGGGAAAGCCAGTTTTTAGTATTTTAAATGTTAGTTCAATATGGTTTGTTTTTCATATGAGATTAAAATGATATTGTAA